AAAAAAACTGTAATGTGACGATTGTGCAAATATTTATCAAAAACATCATTGTAATGAATTTTTTAGATGTATTTAATCTATAACAGAGATTGTTTTTGCAAAGATTATTTCTGATTACAGCGAGTTTTGCAGGGACTTACTGTCTTTTTAAATTCTGGAAATTCTGAAACAAAAAAAGTGACCGAAATCAGTTTGATTCAAGTCATGTAAAGCGCTCGTGAGACACAAAACGACATTGTGATAACAGACTTTTTTTTTGTTTTACCCGGAGGAGTGGTAGATCCTCATTGCCCATCTCCTTCTTAATTGTATCAATGAGCTCCTTCATAGCGACAACATCCTTTTCTGTGCTTTCAATCAGTTTCTGTATGCCAGCGATCTTCTCCCCCTCCTCATCAGACAGAGCTTTAAGACGCATCGCTTCTTCTGCGGTGAGCACGTCGTGAAGCCTCTGAAACTCTGCTTTGATCTGCTTTTCTGCTTCTTCAGCCTGATACTGTATTAAGACAGAGCAGATTTGTACTGTACATTTGTGCTGTGTGCCAGAAAAATATTAACGTGAAGCAGTGAAATTAATACCCCATAACCTATGGACAGAAATATGCTTTAAAAGCGTTGCAAATATGAACGATATGATCCACAAGCGTACAATTGTGTACAGTGATTTGTGTGTAACTTTTGTTTCATGTCACAGACTGAAATGGAGACATCTGGGCTTTCTCTCTGTATTTGTCTTTTTTTAATGTATTACTTTTTTTTTTTATGAAAAAGTCTTTTCTTGTTCTCAATAGACAGAACCGTGCATGTGTGGTCAAATTGCTTTGTATTAGTGCGTGGATTGAAGCATGTATTTGTGAGTCCACAGAAGTTACACATGAATCACTGTACACAATTGTGTATCTTACTTTTTGCCTGTGGATAACATTGTACGTATTTGCGATGTTTCTGAGTCATATTTCTCTCTAATTTATTTAATCTGCACCGGATCAGTTTAACATAAGGGGGCAAAGTACTTTACAGATCGCCCCAGGAAGCCACCCTTTAGAAACTGAAGATGTCTGAATTCAAAATAACAGTCCTGCTGCTATTAATAACCAGCTTAATCACTATTCATGTAATAAGAACACCGTGAGACATGTCAGTCACCTTACCTTGATATAGGTCACTGCGTTTTTGAGATTGCGAGATGTTTTCTTGTACGAGTCCACTTTCTTTTCAAAAATGTGGACTCTCTCGCTCAGCTCCTTCTGCAAAAAACATCATTAGCACAAAATGTTTTAGGCCAGTGACAAGGGTTACACACACAACACAAATATACACATGTTAGACAGATGACAGGATATCAAATTGTAAATGGTCTGGTACTTATAGGAGATACTTATATAGTGCCTTCTATTTAATATGAGCATTCAAAGTTCTTTCTACTATGTCTATCCATCTATCAGTATCTTGCTCAAGGATACTTCAACAGACTGTAGGATCTGGGGATTGACCCTTTCTGCTACCAGAGCCACTGCTGCCCAAAAGATTGTGCTTTAAAACAATTGTTGTAGGGGGATAGAGTTACCAGAGAGCTGTTACCAAAAAAGGGTGACAACGTTTATTGCAGGCCAAGATATTCACAAGCATTCACTGTGGTGCTTCAGGTGGTTGTACAGACTGCAATAACAATCCTGTGAACAATTTTCTGTCTTTGATGGCAGATAACGGGCATCTGATATACTTCTTGATTATCTCCTTTTACAGAAGATCCAAAATTGCCACCGTTGCTGCTGATGACATTATATCAGAGCCTACATAGCTGATAGAAAGGACATTAACGTTAACTAAAAACGCATTTGTAATTTGAATCCACATTCAGTTTTTCTTTTTTAGTCTGGCACTGGCCTTAAACCACGTTTGGTAAACCTACTGTTAACACCTTTACATAACATATTACTAAATGAGCAGCTGCAAAAACAGTTTGTCAGCTTTTAAGAAATCTCAAACAAACCAGTTCCTGCTGGTGGAAACAGGATTGCATAGCACTTTTTTTCTTTCTCAAGAAGAATCTGACAAACTGGTTAGGGGAACTCTTACCTTGCACATGGGCGCCCCATCGCTCAGTGTGTACAGCCTGTGGGTGCTGTGCAGAGTGACGCATTCCACGCACACCGGCTCCTCGTCCTTCTCGCAGTACAGCTCCAGGGGTTTCAGGTGCAGGTTGCAGACTGCGTCACTGGGCTGAATGGTTTTCGGTCGTTTGTTCGTCTGTTTAAGGAAGGACTCGCAGGTGCTATTGAGCGCACGATTGGCGATGGCCTTGTCTTTCTCATACTCCTCCCTGCAGACGGGACACTTTTTGCTGTACTTAAAATTTTCCTCCAGACACTGCCGACAGAAGCTGTGGGTGCAGGGCAGCAGCATCGGGTCCCGGAATATGCCCTGGCATACAGGGCAGGTCAGCTCCTGCTGGAGAGGTAAAGGCTCATCCTCTTCCATGTTGTCAGACATGGCTTCACAGGCCCGCTTCAATTTGCTTTCGCTTTCAAAAACAGCGAAAATCGACAAATAAAGGCAGACAGACACGTATCCACCCGCCTCCGTGGGTTAGGCGAAATCAACTGGCGAAATGTTGGTTAGATTAGAACAGAAAGCAAAAAATAACGAAGATTTACTATCATTGCGTTGACAAAGTTCAACAACTTCTT